CATTAATGACGGGAACATTTAGGGAAGTTATCATAATGTAAATTCACAAAATAAAAGCAACCTATTGTGTCATTTCAATTCAGATATCTTTTTTCCTGGGCTCTTATTGGTGCATTATCGGCACATTCAACCATGCTAATCAACCATTAAATTTTAATACAGTTATAAGCTAATGCATCATGGGAATTATATATAGTCTGGCTAATATAGGACAATTCGCAAAAATATTTTATGACTGAAATCCTACATTACCAAATCATAGATAAGGCTGCCAGTGATGATTTTGTTTTATTACACAAACAAGAGCCCTTAACAATCTAGGCAAATCTATTAAAATGATCTAAATGTTGGGGGCCCAAAAAAGGCAACACATAAGCGTTCCTAATAAAACAGAAGTCGCCAGCTCACGTGATATTATCTTTTTTGGCCGGATAAAGATTTCTTTAACTTCCACCGTATGGTTGTAGCACAACCAATTAAACTGCTAGATATATACAAACCTTCCAAGTTAAGAAAGAGCATGAGAGCCATTAAATTCCTCTAGATCACCCTATAACAGGCTTTCACTGAATAGCATGCACTCAATATTTTTAAAGTTTGAACCGTCTGAAATATAAACGAACCAAAACCGTTATTATATAATAATCTACCAACCACTTATTCTACGTTAAACCAATATGCTTCACAGTCTTCCCTGTGTCAATCTCTGGCCAATTCTTTCTTATTCTCTCTCTCAAAACGATATGTTTATTTCAAGAATAAATCTACTTACTTATTCCGTTCAATAACTCATATTTTACATCAAATTTCAATGATAAAATCGTTGAATTTAAAATTTTTAATACATAGATCAAATTTATAAATTTTTAAAATTTTAAAAATCATTAGATACTTTGTTTCATTATTTAAATTAACGGATAATCATAAAAATATTTTATATGTTGATTTTAATTAATGAAACAAAATATCAAGTAGTTTTCAAATTTTTTAAAATTTTACAAATTTAATCTATATATTAAGAATTTAAAATTTAACGATTGAAACATTAAAATTTGATATAGAACATGAGTTATCGAACGGAATAAATTTAGATTAACTTAGTCTTGAAGTAAACAGATCTCTCTTCTCTTTCTCTCTCTATCTATATATATATAGAAGAAGGATTGGTTCACTTCATTTCATAAATTCAAATCGATGGATAATCATAATGGATCCCTCTTTTTATATATATATTAAATAGTGTCTAATAATTAGATTGCGACGGTTTATAGTAAACCATCGCAATGCTGAAAAGTTTGCGACAGTTTATACTAACTGTCTCAATGTTAAAAAAAATTTGCGACTGTTTATGATTAACTGGCGCAATGTTAAACAAATTTTGTGACGGTTTACGATAAACCGTCGCAATGTTGAACAATTTTGCGACGGTTTTGAAAAACTATCATATGAAGGGTCGCAATATCAAAGCGACGACGGTTTCTAGATAACCGTCGCAATATGTCCGTCGAAATTTATCATTTTCCTTGTAGTGAATGGGGGCCAAAAAGGATTCTAAATCATGTTCTTGTATCAATTTTATTGTTACTTTAATTTGATTTACTCTGATTGCCAACCATTCATGAATATGAATTCAAGCCAAGATTTTAGTATGAAAATAAGAAGGAAAAATAACTTAGACGAATCAAGATGGGATTCAAAATGGGGAAAAGTAAGAAAAATGAACTCACCAGCTTTCAGGATTTTCATAATGATTAAATCAGTGCATCATAGTGAACCTTCACCCTTTTCAAATAGATGAAGATATACACTACTAGATTTTAATCCTTTAGCAACATTTTCTTGTTTACATTTGTTAAAATGTTACTATATATTATATAAATATGTTATTTTGTAACATTTTTTGAAAAATGTCATTATAGATAGAGTAATATTTTGTATTTCAATATTATTCTTTCCAATTGTTTTCAAAATCAAAGTCCCATATCGAGTAAAAAAAATTTAGATAAGTTATTTTGCAACATATTTTTGAAAAATGTTACTATAACTTCTAAAATCAAAGTCCCACATCGAGTAAAAAAAATATATTTCTCTTATATCTAATTGTAACCCATAATTAAAGTCCCACATCGAATAGATTAATGACTCATAAAGAGTATATATACTCATATAGTTATATTTAAGATAAATGAAATTTGATATTCTATATACAATTAGTAGTAACTAACTAAAATGTATTTCCCTAAAAACTTAAGGAATTCCTAGAAGTTTAGGAGACATAGAAATATAATAATTGATAGTAATATTTAAATTAAAATTAATTATTATTTTATAAGATTAAAAAAATCTTGGCAACATCATTAAAATGTTACAAAAATACTACTTTGATAACATTTAAAAAATGTTACCTAATTATGCAAAAATGTTACTAAAAGTCTTTAGCAACATGGATTATATACAACATTTGATAATATGTTCCTAAAACAAATTAGCAACATTTATACATAATTAAGTAACTTTTTTAAATGCTGCTAAATATCATTTGTGTTGTAGTGATATAATTAAGGAGTTTTAACAAAAGCATACACACTACTACTACTCAAGGTCGCCGCTCGGTAATGTTCAGGTTTCTTCAAGAAGGTTTTCTCATTAGAGATGCATGGGTTGATTAGAGGAGAACGATTGAAAATGACTCGTGAAAGAAAATGACTCATTTTCAAATAGATGAAGATATATAACGAAGGAGTTTTAACAAAAGCATACACACTACTACTCAAGGTCGTCGCTCGGTAATGTTCAAGTTTCTTCAAGAAGGTTTTCTCATTAGAGATGCATGGGTTGATTAGAGGAGAACAATTGAAAATGACTCGGGAAAGAAAATGGCCCAATAACTTGTAAAAATATCATGACATGACTTAAAAGTAAATAACCATGATAATTTTGTTTTCTCCTTATGTAATAATAATAATAATATAAATTAATATATATAATATTATAAAAAAATATATATATATATATATATATATATATATATATATATATATATATATATATTAAAAGTTACACTAAAACACTTGGTAAAGTAATATTTAAAAAACTACCTCTATAATTAATATAATAAAGATAAATAGGTGATCACATTATTGATACAACTCACAAGAGACACCAAAAAAAACATGTTAATCAAAACATACATAAAAATAATAACTTATATCTATGAATGTATAACTTGGTTATGGATGGAATCCAGCATTAACTATTTGATATGATTATATGTAATAATATGTATTACAAGAAGGGTCAAGACAAAAAGCATTTTGTTTTTGTTAGAGTTGTAACATAATCATTTGGCTTTTACAATTGTATATTCTATAAAAATACAGATTAATCAAAATTGGATAATGATTTTCCTTTTATAAACAACGTATACAAATTAAAATACACTCTGTAAACGTAGCCATGCTTTGAAAGCAGACTGATTTATCAATTAGTATGAATACACTCCTTGACCAAGAGATCTAGCTACCTGCTTAATTACATGAAAAGAGAAATAAAAAATAAAAAAAAAATCCCAATGTATACGCGAGCATATATATCAATATGAATAGCGTTGTTTTATCAAGACTGGGACATATAACGAATTAATGAAGGTGATTTAGCAATAATATGGTAGATCTTGAGAATGTTTGGTTGAAAAAACGAATGAAACTTGAAAAGTTAATCCTAACCAAATATTAGAATAAAGATTATATTTATATAAGCTGCTATGCAATAGCTATTGGTTCGAATTTATAGTGTGGTAAAACCATGCGATAAATCATCTCTGTGTTCTTTTTCTTGGAAAAGGCTAAAGATTCGTTAATAAACTGAATTGTTATAAATCATCTTTATTAGTCCATGCATATTAAATATTAAATTCATTTTGCTTGCTTCCTATTTCTCCTATGAGAAAGCTCACATGAATCAAATATCTCTGGAGGTATATTCTTCTGTCAGCAGTTTAAACAAAAGAAAAATAAAAAGATGTGACAGCTTTTCTTGAAAACGAAGCATGACATTTGATAATAAGCCAAAAAAACTGCATTTTCTATTTTCCATAATTGGTAGTTCTTAACATCTTTTATTAATCAGACTTGGCTGTTGATGAATTGGCTAGCTGTCACAAGGTCCATTGATTTTGTAAGTACATATTTTTAAAGTGTGATGAAGCAAGCACATGGACCATTGCTTATGCATATGTAAAAGCAAAACTGAAGCCATCGTGCTTGTCAATCAAAAAATGTATTTTATAAAAAGAATAAACATTGTACAAAACCACGAGAATATTATGAATGCTAAACTATTATGATACAATATTTAATTTTTATGATGGCTTAAAAAGTAGGGAACCTCAACCAACAGAAAGTAATTAAAGCAAATTGATTATTTATACTTTATCAAAACCCACCCGTTAATATGTGTTGGTGTAAGTAGTACTAAATTTAATTTCTTTAAATAAAGTTTTGAGTTCAAATCTTATAAATAAATAAATAAATAATAGGTGATTAAAAGATGAGACTTTACTATATATATTAGGGAACCTCAACCAATAAAAAGTAATTAAATTAAAATGACCATCTATACTTCATCAAAACCTACATGTTAATATGTGTTGGTCTAAGTAGTATTGGACTTGATTTTTTTAAATAAAGTTTTGAATTTGAATTATGTAAATAAAAAAAATGTGATTAAAACAAGTTGGACACAAGTTTAAGTTATATATTAAGAAATTATAATAACACACTCTCTAACAGACTCTTTTAAACACACTCTAACTGGTTGTAATTTGTTAATTAAAAAATACAAAATTTAGTAAATTTTACATTCTATTTAATAACTTTTTTCTTAAATTTATAATTTTTTAATAAATTCTACCTAATGAAAAATGAGAGTTTTACTAACACTTCTCTTATATATTAGCCAAGCTACTTCTATTCCCCTACATTATTTCCTTCCTCCTTTATTCCTTTTTCTTCTCCTTTTTCCAAGATGAAGTTCCTACATATTTTAGTTCTATGTGGGAACAAAAGCACGAAACAAACAATGACTGCAAAAGTAACTATTCTAGCATTCATAATCTTACTTGTATTTTGTGTCACCAAATTCCGGTCTTATTCTTTGTTCAATTACTCTCCACTGTTGAAGATCAATAAACATAATAAGCTTCCATCTTTTGCTTTTCATGATGTGAAGGAGCCAGAAATCTTGCCCTCAACATCTGTGAAGAAGAAGTGTGACATTTTCAGTGGGGAATGGGTGCCAAATCCAGAGGCACCATATTACACAAACACAACATGTTGGGCAATTCATGAGCACCAAAATTGCATGAAGTATGGGAGGCCTGACACTGAGTTCATGAAGTGGAGGTGGAAGCCTAATGAGTGTGAACTTCCCATCTTCAACCCCTTTCAGTTCCTAGAAATTGTGAGGGGGAAATCTATGGCTTTTGTTGGAGACTCCTTGAGCAGAAATCACATGCAGTCAATGATTTGCCTCCTATCAAGGGTAATTCTTCTACTTTTTTCAGGATTTAGATTCTATATCTGGCTCCAAAATTATTATATTATCATATTTTTGTCATTTTTCACCGTGATTTTCTGATATCAATACTGCTTTCGGGTGGTATGTAATTTGGTATCTGATTACTATGTTCTCCATGTCTCTAAACTTCATGAAACAGTCAACTCTTTTTAAAATATATATATATATATATATATATATATATATGAAATAAGTTCAACCTTTTCTTTACTTCTTTCTGAGTCATAGTGTCATAAATTAGTGGATCAAAAGGTGAAGGTTTAGCTAGTTACGAACCTGCGTTATAGTGAAGGTATATGATATACTTTCTCATTTTAATTAAATTATTAATGTATATTTAAAACTATTATATTTTTTATTTTCTAATTTTATGTATTAAATTCATTAATGTTTCTTTTTATATTTATGTTTTATTTTATTTTTTATATATGAGATATGATGATGATTATTAATTTTATTTTCTTAAAAATTTTGTCCTTACTTTATATGGTAGTGCTCTAAAATTGACATTGTTCCTGATGTTTAAATTAAATACTTTACAATTATTAGTTAAAGCAATTTTTGGATGTAGAATCATAAAAATGAACTTGTTTATATTTTTTTTATTTTTATTTTATGGATAAAATATAATTTTGTACAATTATAATTTGTTTTTCATTAATTTTTGAGATTTTATATTTCTTTTACTTAGAGTCAATTATTTTTAATTATTTAATTTTGTCATACTATTAAGTTAACTATCAATCTTATATGATATCTCAATTAATTTTAAAATAAAATAAAAATAATATACACTTAACTAGATGTCATTTATTATTTTGATTAATATGATATTACTTTTTCACACTATTAAACATCATTATAATTTGTGCCAAAAACTACTATATATCGTCGGTTTGAACTCTTTATCCAGATAAAATCCGAAGATTTGGAGCTTTTGGTTGTAGACAAACATGTTAATCTTCTCATAAATGCGTGTTTGTGCACATTGTTACTTCTTATATTATTTATGGTCTAAATTGTTAAACCTTAATCCTTCCTAACTTTCTAGGTGGAGTGGCCCGTTGATGTATCCTACATGAATGACTTTTCCTTCAAACAATGGAAGTACTCAAGCTACAACTTCACTATGGCTAACTTTTGGACACCTCACCTGGTTAGAGCTAAAAAAGCAGATTCAAATAGTGTCCTCTTCAATGTTTACCTTGATGAGTTTGATGAAAAATGGACAAGTCAAATTAAAGAGTTTGACTATGTCATTATCAATGGAGGACAGTGGTTCTTGGGGCCCATGGTTTTTTATGAGAAACAAAAAGTTGTTGGATGTCAATATTGTGACTTAGAAAATGTCACTCACTTAAACTTGCACTATGGCTATAGAAAGACTTTTAGAACTGTATTTAAAGCCATCAATAGTTTAGAAAATTTTAAGGGTATCATATTTCTAAGAACATTTTCTCCATCTCATTTTGAAAATGGGTTGTGGAATAAAGGTGGAAATTGTACGAGAATTATACCATTTAGGAGTAAAGAAACTAAGTTAGAGGGTCATGACTTAGAGTTACACAAGATTCAATTAGAGGAGTTTAAAATTGCCAAGAAGAAAGGCATAAATAAAGGATTGAAGCTTATGTTGTTTGACATCACACAAGCAATGTTATTAAGACCGGATGGTCATCCAAATAGATATGGACATTGGTCAGGCCAGAACATGACATTATATAATGATTGTGTTCATTGGTGTTTGCCAGGCCCAATAGACACGTGGAGTGATTTTCTATTAGAAATGCTAAAAATGAAAGTGTGAAATTTATGGGTTACAAGAAAAAAAGACTTCATTTATAGGAAAATTAATAGATATATTTACAAATGTGATTCATATGTGTAACATCCTTGACTTTTTTTCCTATTGTTTTAAGGTTATAAATGGTCTTACATCGTCAACCAAAAAATTCATTATTTGTATAACTTTTAAAATAATTATCATAAAAGTCAACAAATTTAACATACACTATTACAAAGAGATTGTTTCTATGAGACGCTTTCTATATCAATTTCTCATACTACAACAAACACTACTAGAAAAATGTCATTTTCTTACAAATTTTTCTACAAAAAAAATATTTGCAGAAATTTTTTTGCAAATTTTCTTGCAATAATAATTTCGAAAAATTTTTTTACGAATTTATTTGTGAAAAATAATTTACACATATTTATTACAAATTTTTTTATGAAAAATAATCTACAAGAAATTTTTGCAAATTTTGCTACAATTTTAATGATTATAGAAATTTTTTTCCATGGTAAAAATTTATAGAAAAATATTATAAGAATTTTATTTTGTTTCTTGCAGATTTCTTGCAAAAATAAATTTGCAAGTAATGTTTACTAAATAGTAGGAAAATTTTGCAGGTAACTTTTCTTGCGAATTTTCCTGCCAATTTTAGGAAAAAAAAATATTTAAATTTATAAGTTTAATATTTAAAAAAAACTTTAAGTCTCACATCGATTGAAAATAAAACAATTAAAGAGTATATAAGTTGTGGCAACACTTACCTTACAAGTTGATTTGTATGGTTGCGTGTTAAGCTTATAATCTACAATCTTAGAGTTTAAAAGATTATGTATCACATGTTGGAGGCATGGAAACAAATGCTTCGGTTCATTATGAGAATTTTAAAGTTGAAGAATTATTAATAGAATTTGTAGTAATTTCTTTACTTTTTTTCATAAGAAATATTCCTGCAAAATTTCTTGCAAAAAAATTCGCAGGAAAGTTTCCTGCGAATATTTTTTTACAAGAAAAATTCGCAGGAAAATTTTTTGCGAATTTTAAAATTCACAAAAATATATTATCCACAAAGGTATTACCTACCGATAAAATTTTGCAGAAAAAGTTGTAGGAACAACATTTCCTGCAAATTTTTAAGAAAAATTCGCAAGAAATGTCGCATATAATAAGAGAAATTCTAGTAGTGAAAATAGACCTTTCGTGACATTTAATATTGCTTTTAGTGTACTACGAAAATACATTGAAATAGTTAAGGGAAATAAGTGTTTGCTAATAACTGACGCAAATACTGTCGGAAAAGCTAACGCTATTTTAAGATATAGAGTCGACTTTTTTCACACTAACTTAATTTAAATTATTGCAGAAAAGTCGACGCTATATGTAAAGAATAGTGTCGGCTTTTTCGATACTAACTTAAATTAAGTTTAGTGTTGGAAAACTCGACGTTATTTCTTTAGATATATTGTCGACTTTTCTAACACTATACATGCTTTGAGAGAGATAAAGATAATTTTTCAATCTTATATACGCTTAATGTGTCGTGATGTAATTGGTTATCAAGTTAACTTAACACATCAAGGGTCCAAGATCGAGTCTTGACAATGTTAAAAAAATACGAACAAATAAACGGTAAGTTGGAAAAAGAAAATGAAGCAAAAATAAAATAAATTTTATGTTGGCTAGGTCGACAATAAAAGTTAAAAAAAAATTATTAAGTTAGTGTCGACGTAGTGTCGACTTAACCAATAATAAAAAACTAAAATAAATAAAATTATTAAGTTAGTGTCGGCTACACTGACAATAAATCAACTATAAAAAATTACTTTTGGCTACTTACCTAACACAAAAAATTTGTGTCAACTTATTTAGAGCCAGCTAAAAATTGACGAATATAATCCATAATAAATATAATGTTATGTCAGTTTTTATTATTTAGAGTCAGCTTTTACTAATTCTAAAATGAAACATTTTTGTAGTGGTGACAATAAAAATGGCTACAAATATTTTACCAACATTTTCACATTATTCATTATATGTAGTGTCAATAAAATGTTTACTAACAATTATTCTGCATGTTACTAAAGATCCTAATAATGATTGAGAAAAATGTATGAGTTTTTATGACAGTTTTTTATTGATATTTAATATATTTTACTATTTTCAGTAAAAACTTAAGAAAGGATTTCTAACTTATATACTTTTGAATTAATTTATTTCTAGTCAATGTGAGACTTATAATGTGAGGGTTGTCCTCTAGTTATATATTATTAATTATCTTATTTTCAGTTGATGTAAGACAATTGAGTTTTTACTACAAGAGACATATTTTACATCAACTTTTTTAGGCATTTTAGATCGGTTTTTGAAACGATGTAGATCAAGGCAATGTAAAAAATATAAGACATTCTACATCGATTTAATAATTAATGTAAAAAATATCATTTCTACATCGGTAATTAATAGACACTACTAGAAAAATTAATATTTGTGACGAATTTTGTGACGGAAAAAATAGCATCGCTAATAGTGACGCATTTTGTGAGGGAATTTTAAGTTTTGTGACGGACTAGAATTTATTGACTTTTGTGACGGATTTTGTGACGGAATATATTCCGTCTCTAAAAATCCGTCACAAATTTCGTCACTGAATCAAAAAAAAAAT